CAGGAATGGACTTTGTTCCAATTTTCTAACACATCTGTATGACTTTCAATTTCTGTAGCTATTCTCTTCTCTGAAGCTGTTTCAGCTCATGTTTCGGGGCTCTGTAAAGCAGCCTTAGAGCCCCAAAGTGGTGAAGCAGACTCAGGGATGGGTAGCCTGGAATCTGGGCAGTGCATGTCAGAGAGACCTTATCTTTACTGCCCTGGCTTCTTTTGCCTCTTCCTTCCCTCCACGTGCTTGCAGGCACTGCCCGTGCCTCCTGTTTCCCCTTCCCGTCTTCAATCCAGTGCAACTGAACACAACAGGAGGCAGGGAAAGGATGTCTGGAGGGGCAGAAACACGAAGACCCTGCTTTATTTCCTTTGCAGACCAAATTTAGTTTTCTGAGAGCTGAACGCCAAATACCAACGATAAATTCAGCCTTTTTTCTGGCCTATGAGTGCACATCACTTCATTTGAAGCTTTCTTGATGCACCAGGAATACACTGCTTAAATGATAATTGCTTCAGTTCTGAAGCTGTTGCTTTTTTACAGTGAACAGGGTCTGAAAGTTTCATTTGCTGTCCCTTACCCCAAGGAGTTTGGTATTTTTCCTTGCTTTATTTTCTAAGATGGGAACTTCTGATCCTGATGCTAACAAGGAAGGGTGGGTAAGTGGTTGGTTGGGATGGCAGAGTTAACTCCGTGCTCTGACATCTTGGGGCAATCAGTCAGGGCACCATGCCACATTTCTCCATATCTAAGCAAGGATAACATGTCTTCGCTTCACAAGGATGCTGTGAATGTAGAGGTCCCACACTGTGTACAATATTCAGGTACAATGATTAGAGAGGAGAAGGTTAAAAGTCCCGTTGGGTTTGCACTGCTCAGGGAGATTACAGGTTTTGAATGGGTTTTAAGGCAGTTAACCACCTCAAAAAACTGACTGCATCTCTAGTGGGCTGACTTGTTAACCGCCAGTAAAAGCCAGGGACATTTTAGGCATGCTGCAGCTGGGCTAACAGTTTCAGTGTTTCTTGCACTCTTGATTTAGGTACACTAATTTCATGGTGTAAATTCAGATTCAATCTCCTGAGTGTGCGTCATACGCTTGAGTCATCACTGTTTGTGTTCTCAAAGTACAAGCACTTTCTGACCAATTTGGTTTATCTATAGCACAATATTACTCTTTAACACAAAATGTCTTGAACTCAAGCATGGAGTTCCTCTCTCTTCTTTCTGAAAGCATAGCTTTTTCCCTTGATAAACCCTGGTTGCCTGTGAGTTAATAACGTTGACTGTCACAACAGACAGGAGGCCACTGCTCTCGTTCACTCACTCTGTATCGCAATCCCTATGGCTGGTCCTGGTGACCTTTGGTGCCAGCAATAGCTATCGCAGGATGCGCTGTGGCCTCTCCTGTTGAATGTGCACCCACCAGTCCAGGTGGGGAGGTCACAAAGATGTGGGCATCAGAGGGACAGGACAAGGGGAAACTGCTGACATGGAAACCTCTGCAGGAGAAAAGAAATGTGAGCAAATACAGACTCTGCCTCCTATGTGGATTGTGTCAGAGGTGATGCTTCAAAGCCAGTGCCATCAGTACCCACTGACCCAGGCAGAAGAAACGTTACTGACGTGTTTTGTCACTGCTGGTAGGAGCTCAGCGAATGAAGTCAGCGGCATTCTTGCAGCCAGATCTCACTGGCATGGATTAAAGAAACATTAGGTGCTACTGGCTGACAAAGTTGCACGGCCAGATGAGTTAGTTTAAACTATTTGATTCAAAAATGAGAGTTGAGACAGATATCATCACGAGCACGTGGGCTCTTGAGAAGGTGTGCGACAGCTTTTCACTGGGTAACTGCTTTTTCACAGAAAAATACCAGTGATGTCTACGGTGCTCTGCCAAAAGCTGAGAGGGATCTTGGCTGCGGAGACGGGATTCAGCTGGAGGGCTGCAATTGCACACCTTCTGGCCAATGCAGGATGTTTAGTCTGTTTTAAAGAAGAATACAGGATTTATGCCCTTGACATATGGCCCTTTAAAGAAAGGTCAGCTCCATGCAAGGCAGAGGGGAGCAGGGGTAGATTAACTCCCTTTGGGGACGCTTTGCTAAGCTAACAAGGTCTTTATTGGACTTTGCCCTGAATTTACAGCGTACCAGCTCAGGCTCTCACTTTTCTCTTGGGGTACATCCTAAAGATTTGCAGTACTTTTTTCACCATATACCTGAGTACTTTGGTAAGCTCTGGTGACGCCTCCTGACCTTCTGAGAAGTAGATGCCACTCACATGTGCATGCACACCTGTTTCTTATTTCTTTGTGAAGTTTGTTAAGAGTAGAATAAGACCTTTGCTATTTAAGCCATCTCAGTTAGAATGGCCTTGCATCCTCTGGCTGCACTTTGTGTAGCCTGAAATGTTTTTTTCCAGCACCAAGGAAGCCGCTTGAGCGTGGTTGATTTTTGGCTGGGAAGAGGGCAGCCCCGAGGTGTTTAGCTGGGGCTCCTTACAGACACTGTGCTAGTGGGAGCTTGCACCAGAGTGGAAAGGTTAGCTTTAGATCTAACCTTTCATCTTTAGGGTAAAGCAGTGCTGAACTGTTGCTCCTTGCCCCGGGAAGGGAGTAAGCCAGCTAGCCTACAAGTTCATTCGAGGAATCATGCATACACAGTTTAATACACTCTGACAGATTTGAGCAAAGAATGACATCGGTGCTCATTTTGTTTTGAACTGTATGATGAGGAACTTGTTCTAGGAGAAATGTTTCTCTGGCCTCAGACAAATTAAGCTGCTTTTTTTTTTAAAAAAAAAAAGTAAAATTTGGATAGTAAACAACTGTAAGAGTCTAGAATATTTTCCTAAATTTCAGAGATTGTAAATAACAGGAATGAAAGTGGGAACACAAGTTTGAGGTTGTCACTTCTAACAGTGGCTCCAAACTCCCTTGAAAGCCATTTTGTAAGGGATTAGCAGAGGGGACGTGTCCTGTTGCCGTGCATTAGGCTTTGACTGCCTCAGGGTCTTTTGAGTCAGTGGGAAAGGCATGCTGAATCCAAAGAAATACCATGGGGTTTAATAATCCCTGCACTAAAGCTGAAGTGCAATACTGAGGGTAGATGAACTTGACACAAACCCACTGGAGCCTGGATCTGCAGGCAGAGCTGAGCTGGGCAAGACTGAATCAGCACTTCCACCGCTTGTTATCCTTTGCGTCTGGGTGACTAAAGGTCCAGAAACTCAAAAGAGATTTGGAAGCATTTGAAATTCATAGGACTGGGCAAGCTGAGCCAGACCCATGCTTTGCTGCATGGATTTACTGGCTGCTAGCTATAGGATCTCCATACAAAATTCCCTTTTGTAGGGGACAGACAACTCTGTGGTTGTCTCTTGGTATTTTTAGGATCAAGACCTCCACGTCTCGTCATAGTCATTCTCAGATGACGGAGGCATAGGGTCAGAGCCTGGGCCTCTCACACAACAGGGCTCCGGTTTGGCCCCAGGAGACTAGACAGACCAAAGGACTGTAGTTTTAGCTAATCATTTGTACAACAGTCAGACCTCATGAACTTTCTAAATGTCATCAAGCTTACTGCAGATTTTCACATTATGAAAGTAGCTTAACCTTTATTGTAGAATTTCTAGGAGAACAGAAACACATAGAAAGTCTTCAGTGATTTTTAAATTCTGTTCTATTTAACATTGATCAACCTCTGATGCATGAAAAACAGGACTGTAAAAAGCACAATGTCTTATGTAAAAGCATCCATTCTTTGCGTGACTTTTTGTTCATAGTCAAAAGAAATAATTACTCCTACTTCCCCCCCCCCCTCCCCCCGCTTCTTTCTTCAAGGATCAATCTGCTTTGCAAACATGGCGATTGCTATGCTTGAACCAGCTTTACCCATCTGGATGATGGAGACCATGTGTTCAGAAAAATGGCAGCTTGGTAAAGTACAGTATATTATTTGCATCTTTGTATTTTGTCTGATGATTGCCTCAGTTCTGGTCCTGTTAATGATGGTGTCCTTATATGCTTCAGGGTAGTAATTTTTATTTTGTTTTCCTATCTTTAAATTGTCAATTGCAAATTGCAAACATTGATCTCTAAGAAAAATAGACAGTGGATTGACGTTTTTGCAATAGAAGCTCCAGTAAGGGGCAACACTCATATTGCAAGGAGAAATAGATGCAGGCAGCCATGGCACTGTGCTTGTCCCGGCTCCTTTGGGAGCCCCAGCAGCGGATCTGGCAGTGAGTGTTGGCTGGGGTGGCTGCAAGTTGCCCGTTGAGTCGCAGAGCCAGCTCAGCAGGGCAAAACAGTTTGTTTGGGGTTTTTCCCAGAGGGAATCCATCCTCAGCTCGTGGTTTGAATGGGCAGGAGCAGCCAGCCACAGAAATCTGCAGCAGGTGCGCTAGGTTTGATGTAGAGCGTGCTTATGCCAACATATACTCCTTCCAGGGCTGCTCCTGGTAACATGTGGGAGAAGGATAGACTTTACTTAAAATGTGGCCACCAAGGATGTCAAGAGCACTTTCCGTTGAATTTGATAGATTTGACACCCTTTCAGTGGTTGCTTAGTCATCCCATTCAACAGAAAGCAATGGGAGAGCCCCAACTTGGACCACCTTATAACCTGTGACAGGGATACAGTCTCGGGACAGCAGTGTCCACAGGCAAACTGGGAATTTATCCCATGTATCAAGTTAGACTAGAGAGTAAAATTGAGGCTGTTACTTTTTTCTTTGAGGTGAATGGGGCGGGCGGGGGGGGAGGAGAAAATGGACTAACTTCCAATGAGTGTCAAAGTGTGCGGGAGGTTGATGTGAATGATTTTGGGAGCATGTTGCCTGGCCCTCGTGTGCCACAATGCATAGTGCTGATCCTGTGCATCAATCTAACTGATGTTTACCTTTTTATTAGTTTGTAGGAAAGAGTTACCATTATAAATACAACATACAGCTATTTGATAAAGTTCATGAAGTGTTCGGTGCTGTGACATTTCATGAGGGTATTTTTTAATATCAATATACGGCATTTGAAAGAAAAAGAAAAATCCTTCACGAAAATGATGTTCAGCTAGCATCTGACTAATATCCCTACTCTATGTTAACGTAGGTGTCCCTACACCGTACAGAAAGCACAGACCTTAGTTCGAATTAATGCAACTCAGATCTAGGGTGGCCATAGGTAGCAATCCTTAATGTGCTGCTTTACTGTTGAACATGGTAATGACTGCTAGCCTGTAATGCAGCAAAATTAACACACAAACTTGGATATTTTAAACCTCACAAAGAAACATTGCTTATCTACCTCCCTCAGTAGAGTTTCATATTACTGGTGCAATGGAAACGAGATTTGTAAATCTCTTAGTTGAATAGACATTCCTAGAAGGAAAATATCAATTTTAAATTAAGACTAATTTTACCCCTTAATGATATAAGTAATTGACTCCATTACGCTTTGTCTGATTTGACAGCATTAATTAAAGTTTTTAAGCCTCTTAAATTATATCTTGAACTGCAGGGTTTTAAGCAAATGATTATCTTATGCAATTTGGAGATCCAGCTGTTCGAAGCATGATCTGAAGAAGGTATAAAGAACCTTGATTTGATCAAATAATGTTACTGTATATAAAGCTTATTTAGAAAATTACGGTTCTGCTTCAGTATACCACAGCTTACACACCAACCTGCAAGTCCTATTTAACAAGTCTTTGTAGTATTTTATTATTTTTTTTTTACAGCTGTCAAGGTCTGCTACGTGTGACTATTGGGTGTAAACAGATAGCTCCAAGCAGTACCAAAGTAGCTGCGGTTAGACAGGTGAAAATGTTTCCCCAGCATCACCATTGTAACCCACAAGGATTTTAATCACAGGATATTGCTGTGCTAAAAATTCCCTCTCGATTTTTTTTTTCTTATGAATATCAGAGAGATAGGAAGAACTATGAATAGGCAGGAAATGAGAAAATCTGTGTTGCCTTGGTGAAAGACCAGGAGCATATACACTTAAAGGAGATGGTTTGATTGTGTACTGTAATGTAATCTGAATTACCTGATCTAACAGTGACCAAATCGAAGGTTTGTCGTGGCATGTGCTAGTTTATCAGACTTTCCCAGTTTTGTCAGGTTTTCCAGTTTTATTTTTCTTAAAACAGCACAAAATTGAACAGGAACAACAGAAAAATACTATGTGTTACTTCTGGCAAGACACATGAACTATTCATCACCGTTGCACCAGGATCCAGCATCAGGCACAGCCACCCTGTTCCTCTGCCTCTCAGATATTTTTCATATGATGTCTTCTTCTCGAGGGCAGTCCCTGCTCTCACCCTGCATCATCCTCCCTGGTGCTCTCCAGGCAGCCGAGGCAATGGCACACCACGCTCTCCCTTCGCATTTCTTCCCTGGATATTTCCCCTCTGGCTGGGTCCTGCCCTGCCACTTATGTGTAGGGAGAGGATGAATCCTCAAGTCCAGACTGTAACTGGCTTTTAAACCAGAGATATTTCTGTCCACCGTGCAGCCAGCATCTACTTCAGATACAGCCGCTGCTGTGGAAACCTCAAGACTAGAAAAAAACTGCTGGTCCCAACAGTATGTTTTTCCAAGTGGATGTGGGGGAGATGGGAAGGTCCGGGTACCCTCCCATCAGGGTCAGAAGGAATTTACCTAGGTGCCCTCATCTGCAAGTCATTACAGATAATTAGTTTTTAAATTTGAACCAATAACTGACTTAAAAATTAACTTTTACTGTAAATATATTGGCTAAATAATTTCAGAACCATGTTTTAAAGTGTTGGGTTTTTTTCACCTTTACATTATTGATATAAGCTCGACTTGAGTCGCTGCCTGACCAAGACCCATACCATGGCATTACAAACTCACTTGTAACACGAGGCCTCATGGCATTGAAGGCTTGGAGGGGGACCATGACTTGCAAAGCCACTGCAGCAGTCCTGCTGTCCCCTCCTCCGGAGGGATTCACCCACCCCTGACCCCTCTGGGCTTGCTGCATGTGCTGAGCATATGCTCCATAAGCCTTGCAACTGCACAAGAGTTGCTTTCCTTGACCTATCCCAAAGCTTATTGTAGTTAGATATAAACTTTTTGCTCTTTGTTGTTCTGTCCCCTCTCCCATACCAGTTCTTGTAGCTGATGCTGAAAAACTCTTTTCAAAGGTCTCACATCACTCCCACATTTCAGAGATGATGTCCTTAGATTTCATGAGAAGGCTGCAACAAACCGGATATTTGATTCCTTGGGCTATGCACAAGGACTCTATTAGATGCGTTCAAATCAAAATTGCAGTGTCTGGAATTTATTAGTTTCTTCTGACACTTCACTCAGATCCCTGCTGATAAAACATCTCATTCGTATTTTTCAGGCGTTGCTTTTATTCCAGCTAGTATCTCTTATCTCATTGGGACTAATCTTTTTGGGATACTTGCACACAAAATGGGAAGGTATGCTTAATTTAAAAATACTAATAATCTTGCATTCTGTTCTTGTACCATTTCCAGTGTTTTCCTATTGATAGTGGAAATTATTAGAATTTGTTCTATAGTAGCAAAATCGCTTTTTTGAGCATGTTGCTACTTTGGTTGTGTAACTTGGCACTTCAGACATGACTTTGAAACATTCAAGATCAGCTCTAACATCTCGGTATCATCAGTCTCTGAGTGATGTTTCTTCTTTGATAGGTGGCTTTGTGCTTTACTCGGGATGCTAATTGTGGGAATAAGTATTTTATGCGTAAGTAGAAGATCATGTATCTTTCAAAACATCTAAATGTTTGTGTGTTCATCTTCAAATATGTGCTTCCCCATGAGATTTTGCTGAAGTTTCTGCTTTATGATACTTTATTAAACAATGTGTAGTTAATTGGTTCCAGATTAGAGTTTTGAGTACTTTCAAATTTCAGTGTTTCAATTATTTTAAAGATAACTGGCTCTGAAAGGAGGAGGATGGTCCTTTTTTTGAGCTGTCACTCCACAGTTTATTCTTGCTCATAGTAGTAACTGTGTCAGTGGTTTAAGGGCATGATTGTCTGAAATGGTTGCGCAGTAGAAGGATAAAACTCTAACTCTCACATCTGTACAAAGCGTGCCATAACTACCTGGAGAATTTATCTTAGAAAAAGAAAACTAACCTCATTAGCATGTGCAGTGTGACATAACTAACTGCCTGAAATTTCCTTTATAGGTACCATTTGCTAAAAATATTTATGGGCTCATAGCACCAAATTTTGGAGTTGGATTTGCCATTGGTAAGAAAAATTACAATGACTTCTTATAGCCGCGTATACATCTTTACTGTGTCTGAGATCACTTATGGACATGTATAGACCATAAAAAGCACAGATCATAATACAGTCTATTTTTACACAAATCTTTTGCTTATTTAAGAACAAGCATCCTTTTAGTTGCTTTTACAGCCCTTTTAGCATGTAGTTGGCCAAGTCATTAAAAATAAAAAAAAAGCCAGGATTTTCCCGAAAAATGTTTCCCTCCCTCCCAGGAATGGTGGACTCCTCCATGATGCCAATTATGGGCTACCTCGTAGATCTGCGTCATGTATCAGTCTATGGCAGTGTGTACGCAATAGCTGATGTTGCCTTTTGCATGGGTTTTGCCATAGGTAAGTCCAGCCCTTTTCCTGCCTACGATGTACAGTTAAGAAAAGAGAATATGTTACGATGCCAGGTGTGAATCCCAGGGGCATCTCAGGCTTTATGAGCAGGGCTTCTTATTTTGGACTAGAAATGAAAGCAGAGGGTATAGTCTTCGGCATCTGCTCCCCTCCTCTGCCACAATGCCATGCTCAGCCTTATTAGCTGTAAGAGGCTTGAAGGTGTCAGGCACTGAACACAAAGAGAATATCCCTAGGAAAGAGGCCTTGGGAACATTTAAAGCTACCACCACAGCTGTGTTCCTAATAATCTGCGAGGGGAATAATTCCCCACTGACCCCCTGCCTCCTTGAGTACATGATACAGATGCCCCTTGGAGCATCTCTAATTTCTTCAATGAATGTGGAGTATGGAGCCAGGAAAGGTTTATGTTGTAATTACAAACATGCCTTTACATTCCTCAAATCAATTTGTAAAGCAGGAGTTTTTATATAAAATTACTGTTCTTTCAAGTGACACTTGCAAATTTTGTGTCTGAGCAATCTTCAGAAAAGGGTTTTTATTTATACCAGGTCCCTCTGCGGGTGGTGCCATTGCGAAGGCCATTGGATTTCCATGGCTCATGACAATTATAGGGATTGTGGATATCCTCTTTGCTCCCCTGTGCTTTTTCCTTCGAAGTCCACCTGCCAAAGAGGAGAAAATGGTAAGCATAACGTGGTTTCTGTCTATGTTTTTATTTTTGGCTTTTTTTTCAGTGAAACAAATGATAACTCCTTTCTGCATCTTTGCCTCTAACTTCCCCAAAATGGGACCAGCACAGTTTGTTTCACCCTCATGCATCATCTTTGGAATGAATTCCCCGTTTTTTTAATGTCCAAGATGTATAAAGAAAAGGTTTTTATTAGTTACGTTTTACAAAGTCACTAATTTGATTATCATGAAACAGGGTCCAGCAGACATTATCTGCAACAGCCTACACTGTGGTGGAGTCAGTATAAAAGGCATTTTTGTCTACCTCGAAGTGCCAGAACTGTATTGACAAATTTTGTTTTATTCTTCTGTGTGCCTCAACCTTTTTTTTTTTTTTTTTTTTTTTTTTTTTCCCCATGGTCCTCTAGGGTATATTTTGCATCATATTTTTTTTTCTTCCTCTCCTTCTTCCTCCATACAGATCACCTGCCCTTACAAATTAATGACTTCCCTTATCCTGTCTGTACCACTGGTCTTATCCTGACTCTTATTTTTTAACATAACTTTGCCAATTAGGTGATTTTCTAGGGCAGTCAGTGCTCCCCAGCCACTGTATGGTGCGTAAGAAGGATGATGCTTGGCCAAATCACCATCTTGCCCAGTCCTCTGGGTACCTAGGGCTGAGTCTCAGAGCAGGCAAATCTGTTATGACACATCCCTAAAATTAGGGACTGAGACCTAAGTCAAAAGTGACACTGATTAACAGCCTCTAACAGACTGTTTTCCCATTGATGTTCACATTTGCTCTCCGAGTAAATGTAAAAGTCTACTTTCCACAAGACCTGGAGTGAGGAGTTCCCCTGCTTGTCCCCTGAGTCCTGCTCCAGGACACCCACAGATTTACCTGCAGGAACATTTTGCTCCTATTGCTCACTGTTTGCTTAGCCTGCCATCCCCCCCAAAAAATAAGATACATGCTTTGGTAGTCCTTTTCCTTCATTTCCTCTCCTATATCGTTCTCCTCTCTCCCTTCTTTTGCCATTTTGTAGCGCAATTTGCCCTTTCATATAACGTCCTTAATCTGCTCCCCTACTCTGCTACTTGCACGGCTTGCTGTTCCTATAGATTTACACTACGTTAGGTTCAAAAGTCCTCTTGCTGCAGGAGGCGATCCATTGCTTTGCTCACAAAGTTTCCTCTGCTCAGCAAGAGGATGGGAAGCTCCCAAAGGAATTACAAGGCAGTGCAGTCAGTAGGCAGAACCATCCCTGTTGTCATTCCAGAGCTGGGAAAATCCTGGAAAACAAGTACCAATCTCTGGTGCAACATCCGTCACCACCTGTAGGGCTAGCCCACCCACTACTTCATCCTCGCTCTTGCTGAACAAGGTGGACTTGGGCCCAAAATGTAGTTGCTAATTGTTTATTCGAGTGAAAAGAAAATGTAATGTTTGCATGGCCATGGTCTTACTATGCAGCCCCCCATCTCTGCAGGGTAAGGACAGCACCTGCTGCGGATCCTGCTCACGCTTTGTTCTGGCATGAACAGAACAGCAGGTAGAAAAAAAAATGAACCTTGCTGAAATGGTGGCGTACATGAGGCCAGAGACCTTTCGTTTTGCACATATTTGGACTGCAGAATCCTGGAGATTCCAGATAATCCCTTGTCATGACCTTTGCAGACTTCACTGATTTTAATTTTTTTTTTTAATGTTTTTTTTTCACATTGACTAAGGCTGAGGAACAGAAAGGAAAAAAAAAAAAAGCTGCTGTTGTTTGCTAGAGATATGAAGTTTATTGTGTGCTTCCCTGGTCACTGACAAGGTTTCACTTGTGATGACTGAAGGGACAGGATCTCTTTCCTTTAAATGCCAAGTGACTCCTATTCCCAAAGTGGCTTGTGGCAGTGAAGTGATTGCCATTTCTTTCGGGTTTGAAAAGACTCAAAAGGAGAGTTGCTAATTTGTGCTCTTTGCGTAATTAATTTAAACCCGAACTTAATCACATTCAACACGAAGTATGCTACACAACTGCTCTGAGTACAGACTGCATTATTATTCATCCAAAAAAATGTGATATTGTAGCTGGCCCCTAACTCTGATAATCACTTTTAGCTTGCCGTGGGTGTCCAGTCGCAATATGTGGACCAGCACTCCCAGCAGAGCCCAGTTACGCTGTTCTGGAGCTCCAGAGAAAGGGGTGGGAAAAGAAAAGCTGGTGAGGGTGACTCAGCTTGAGGTAATAGGACTCTTCTTGCTCATTCATCCAGCTTTTAGATAGAGATTAAGTACAAGAGAAAGAAATTACTGTAACTGGAGAGCAGGTAGACATGTTTCAATTCAATACATGGGCTGAAATACTGGTTCCAGTAAGGTAATAAAAATTTGCTGGTGATGTCTTTAGGGCCAAGATCCTACCTCACACAGATGTATGGACTTGATTTACCCTAATTGAAATCAGTTTGGGTTCTACTTTCAGGGCAGAGAGGTGAACCCCTGAATGGTGGATGCAGCTGTCTGGATACCAAGCAGAAATGCTAATATTCACTCTCTGTTTTCTTTTAGGCAATACTCATGGATCACAACTGTCCTGTGAAAACCAAAATGTATACCCAGAACAACATCCAGTCCTACCCCATAGGTGATGAAGAAGAAGAATATGAAAGCGATGAATAACATGAAAAGCTATATAACATGTTTTGGTGTACAAAACGCAGTGTTTCATGTGAAACATCTCATCCAGAAATAGGTTTTAGTTGTACTGTACATTTAATGGTGAAACGGTCAAAAACCCCAAAGGTACATTATTCATTGCCCATGGTTATAAAGCAGACTCCTAACCGCCTTGTAAGAGGGGGGAAAAGCTTTTATAGAGGATTTGTATAGTGTTAATCTTTATTTGTGTATTTAATTTTATTGAATATTACACTATATTTTTTATTAAATGTGTAGTATAAATCTGTATAAACATGTGAATTGTAACTATTTGTTTTTTAAAGTCAACTCATTGACATACAGTATTTCATATTTTGTTTGGAGTCAGAAGTTACTGTCAAGAGCTTGGGTCTTTCTTCTCTAATTGGAAGGGGTGGGGGAAAGCAAAGCTCAAAAGAAAGCCTACCCCATTCGCATCCTTTTGAATTGCACCCTTGTAAGCACAGTGAGAGGAGCTGAAGGTTGGAATTCAGAGTGTGGACATCGTTATCACTTTTTTCATCAACTTTAGGTCATACATTAGTAAAATAAAAGGCATAACTACTTTGCTGATTTAAAAAATGAACTCTCCCTGAACCACTCACGGAATGTTGGGGAAAACAACAGTATTTTACACTCATCTGTTTATTGATACCAGTACTATTTAATGAAGTTTTAATTTGTTCACCACTTGTGCAGTATAAAGCCTCCAAAACACACAACACTGGGTAAACAAGTAGGTATGAACGTACACTGTTCCTTTCCCTTAAAGGGAATAAGAGCAGGGTGAAGACACTTCTCACACATATCTCAACTTTATTTTAGATGCATCTTAAGTGACTGGTTAAGAAAAGCTGCAGTATCAGTGTTTAGGATGTACTGAAAGTAAGCTGATAACATAAGCAGTTCAAACAAAACCCAAAAATGCATTTCACATGCATTTGCAGACACATCTAGAAATTCAATATATATTTATTTTTTTAAAATGAGTTAAAACATCAGCTTTGCTAAAACTAATGAAAAAAATGACCAGTTTGTTGCCAGTATCTCTTAATATTTGGGGACACAGTCTAATACAAGTAAAGCACTGTATCAGGTAGTTCCTACCCGCACTGAGAAAAATCAGACTTTGAAAGAAAGCATTTTAAAATGAATCTCAATGTCCTTATCAACTGTGGTGTATCTTTTAATTTGTACAATTAAAATCTTTATGTGCCTTCTTTCATGTAATTGCAGACATTTTATGTACTACAGCATAGATACTATGTTTACATATAGTTTTGTAAAGTGTATATACTATGGTCAGAAAATATGAAGAATATAGTGGATCAAACTTCAAGTATTGCTTTGTCAATAATTATGCATTCAGATCGCATTAAAATAAAGTTAGCTGAAAGAAGTTCATGATCTATTGTAATAAAGTAAAAATAAAGTAAAAAAAGAAAGAATTCCCCTCATGATTTGCCTTATGCATTCTGTTTTACTGTATACCGGCTAGGGAGAAAAGCCAAGATCTACTTCAGGTTGTGGGAAAGCACTCCTCATTTCTAGTCCATTTGTATCTCAGGACAAACATTTTCATGCAACTTGTTTAAGTAACTGCAATAGCTTCCAAAATCAGTCTGTCATGTGGCTGCTGGTTTGAGATTTAACTTTTGGGAAATCGGTACGGCCAAAATGTGCAGTACCAGGCAACGGCCCTGTCTGTTCTTTAAATAAGGGTGAAGATTCTGACAAGACATCATAGGAGGCTTAAATGGTGTGAAAGGCCAAGCAATAGGTCCTACAGCTGATCTGAAAAAATCCGCTTACAGATTTTTGTAGTGGTGTATTTTCGATTGCATTCTTTTGTATGTATAACAGATGAAAATCCTTCCTTCAAGGCTGAGAGGTGTTTGGAGACAGACGTTAATACAGCATAAACCAAGATTCTGGCAGATGTTGAGTACTTCACCGCCACCGAATAAGTAACAATTGTGCAGACTGATGATTATTTATATTAGGTTCAGATTTCAATGTTGTAGATCATTTAGATATTTGAAACTTTGCCTCAAGAGAAGCTATTTTACTTAGCTTCACTGAACAATTCTGGTCAACATGAAATTGTTAATTCAATTAAATTTGAAACTAATATATCAATGTTAGAATTCTAAATTATCACACATTCACTTATTTGTCAGCTGATTAACCAATGTATTGCTTAAATTCACAAGGATAAAAGTAATGCAAACATAGCAACTTACATATACTTTAAAAAAGCACAGAATGGCTTACCTCATGGCTTGGTTTTGAACTTTTGAGCACATCAAAATTAAGGAAGAGTTCTCATTAATCTGCAACACAAAACGAGCATGAGAAGGAGGCCCAAGGACAGATTAACTGATCACATTCCTCTTCTGCAGACAGGAGCCAGGTTTCTACCGGGGCCTTATGGATGAGCGCCTTACCACGCTTTGCTCAGTAGACCCACACAGCTTCGTCTGGTTCCTCCATGCTCTTGCTCTGCTCCTGGTCCACCCGAAGTCAGAGGCAGACAGAATTAAGAGCCACGCAGACACCCATGTTTGGGCTCTCTATGTTACCTTTTCCCCCCAAAACAGATATTTAGGGATTATTCTACATTTTGGATTTTTGGAGGAATAATCAATCAAACCCTTTTTGCTGACTGTCAGGAAGTAACTTTAGTCACAGAAAATACACCAAAAAACCCCATTCTGCCCTGGAATAATTTGAGTTCTTCCATATTTTGATCTGTGCTGATTTAAGTGTGATAAAGTCACTTAATTAATTTGCTCCCACTAGCTAGTCCTCCCCTGCAGAAATAAAAACTTCCACATGTTTTATTTCAAATTTGAGGGGAGAAAAATAAGGATAGGGAATTATAAGGAAAAGCTGATTGGATAAAAAGGAGCTAGTAAGCAGTAAGGATTTGTTTAGTTATTATTCATTAAAATTTTCTGAAGGACAGGACAAGTCAGAAGAATTTTTCTTAGGCAATTTTTTCCCCTAATGTAACCCTGGCAGTAGTCACTATCACCGATACTGCTGTTCAATAATTATTCATGCAGTGCTTGGAGGTCTTAAAGCCCCACAAATATCCTTAGCATTTTATAAGATTCTCTAGCTACACAAAGAATCAACTGCAATTACCATTTTGAAAAAAAATAAATCTACTATTAAACAGTGTAGAACAAAAATAAATGCACATGTAAATAGAAAGAATGCATAAAAGCCCAATTAATTCAGCAATCAGTAGTTTTATTTAATGCAAAAATGTGTGTTTTTCTCCTTTAAAGTAGTGGCTTTAAATGATAAACTACTGCAATACAAATGTTTAAAAAAATATTAACACAATGCAAAGAAGTTGATAATTTAGCAAAACTATTTTATTAAAGCTTATTCTCATGATAAAATAATAGCCAACAAAATCATATTAGGCAGATCTTCTGCAAATGTGTGTAGCTGCCACCTATCCAGATATCATTAAGTCAAGATATTCTTGGTTTCTGTGGTATTCTTTATTTTCAGCTATTTACAGTCAAGCATGAAGCAAAGATTACATCAGGAATGTAGTATTACAATTTTCCCCTTGAGATTCATTGTTTATTGTAATTAATGCCAGATAGGAATTTATGTTTTCCTTCTTACCACTAAAATACAACTATTTTGCCCTTTTCCCATTCGGTATATTTAAAAATATTGCACTACGTTTAATTTATCTCTTACAATCATCATTAGCAATACTATACGAGGAAAACTATATCCAGCTTTTCTTGCCCACTGTATTACACAAGTCAATTTAGAACCATGAACGTGTCTTTGAAATCAGTATTTGCATTGTTTTCACAGCTCCTTCATGTGTACCAGGGTTTAAATGAAGTACCTGGATATATTTGAAAACCTCTATAGTAGTCCATAAGAGCAAACACTGATGGAGATTGAATGCAGATCACCACCAATGGTAAGCCACTGAGAAAATGAAGTGGGGAAGTCTTAATATGCATCTCAAGCAAGTATAGGTTAAATAACTTTTAGTCAGGGGAGCTAATTTTGTGCGATTATTTGCTGAAGCTTAATTTCAGAAGTGTCACATGCCTATTTTAGCATGGATAGTGTTTTCCATACATCAACTAAGTAAGTATCAACTGCCCAGAACTCACAAAAAAGTGCAAGTAGTTGTATGAGTGGAAGTAACCGTTTTGTTTAGGAGTACAAGTATGCTTTTCCATCTGTGAAAACCATTGCTTCTTAATTTTGCCCATCACAAAATAAACTAAGAAGCAAATTTAATGGAGAGGTACATTACAGACTGCCTGAAAATTTATATGAGTTATTTTACCGTCTTAGATTCAACTCCATTTCCACAAAGGAATTTTTTTCTACCACCAGTGATACCAGTAATAATGATACCAGTACCTAACATAGTACCTAAAATAAAGATGGTATTTTATACGGCAATTCTATACACAGAAGATGAAACAAAGACATGTTTACAGGAAATAAATAAGAACAATGGCCTTAGCCAGGTGATGCTAAGATCTGCAGTTTACACATAGCACAAGACCAGATAGTTCTTTTCAAAAGCTGCTGGCTGAAATTCTTCCTCATCTCTACTGGACTCACTGAATTTGACTCAAAGCATGTTATATACACTATAAGACATTTCTCTGACAAAGGTGATCCTTTTGCTCAGACCGTCTCTGCAGCCTGAGAAGCTGAATGCAACTTACCACTACGTGATTACTCAAAATTGTTGAGAGAACATGTTTAGCTATTTTGTAAAGTATTTTGTACCTTAAGCTTTCTGAAATGATAAAGTCTGCAGCAAAATATTAATTTTTTTTAAATTACTTAAACTGTTATTACATGCTTTTTCATAGAATGCAATGAAACCTCCAACTCTTGTGAAGAACAATTTTCCTTTATCAGGTTATCAGATAATACAACACTTAAACATATAATTCTGTTCTGTTAGGCAACCA